AACCCACTTCTTTTCTACCTATCTAATACTTCATTCCTTCAAATTACAACACATATCAACACATCCTTATTTCAGATAAAAGCATACCTGAGATACAAAAACAAAATTACTAGAGCACAGTCGTTTCACATAAGATAAGCAACTATACAAAGCAGCAGTAGCTACAAAAAGAAAATTTCCAAAATAAAGTAATACCTGTATCAACTGGTTAAAAAAAGAAAGTGTTCCTGTTTCTTGCCAAATGTCATCACAATAATAGAACTGGGCCTAAGGACAATGCACTCCTGATAATGATGGTACCTTGGGACATTCACCTGTGCTGTGGATGGTTCTCCTCTTCTTTAAAATAAAAATCATTGAACGAAAGCCATAGTTATCACCACAAATGGTATGTTTTTAGGTGCTTCTAGGTATTTAGATATGTTAAAGTTGAGGCAGCTAGAACTTTGATACACATTTGAAATTACTTCTTTACATTCTCCTTTGGGTCAGTGAAGGAAAAATCTTGTCTTTTTAAGATTTGGATCTTAGATTTATGCACTGAGTGGATTTGAAAATTCTATATTTATCTACTCTTAAAATGGAATTTTCTTAAAACAATCCAATTCAAAAGTAGATCATTTGCCAATGCTGATAATTAAGACATGGCTATACAAGAAGCCTGGAGAGATTTTCCAGGGGCATCTGTAACAATCTCCCATCCATGAAAAAGAAGGCACGTTGTGTACCTTCAGGCCACACTTAGGTGTTTTCACTCAGAAATTAACAATAAAGTTACGTGAAAGTTGTCTGAAGCTGGGGCAAGCAGGAATACTAAGTTTTAACATTCCAGATGTTAAAATTACTAGCACTCCTAGTAATTACTCTTAGTAAATTACAATTACTCCTCTTCTATCTCTGGCTTAAAAAATAAAAATGAAGTATTGATCAAAGAATTACTTTGCCCATTTCCCTAAATTAGATAGAACCATCTTCCTGTTGAGAATTGAATTAAAAAGCAAGTTCTCCATTTAGCCTCTCCCACCATTTTAGCCTTTCTTACTAAGAACTTAGTAAAATAAACGAAAGAGAAGTTAAAGAAAATAATCAGCATTCATAATAAATATTAGAAAGCCTACTTCTTCATATTTTTTTCTTTATTTTATTTTACTTTTCTTTATTTTATTATTTTTTGAGACAGAATCTCACTCTGCTGCCCTGGGTATAGTACCATGGCATGATAGCTCACAGCAACCTTAAACTCTTGGGTTCAAGTGATCCTCTTGCCTCAGCCTCCAAGTGGCTGGAACTATAGGCATCTGCCACAACTCCTGGCTAGTTTTTCTATTTTTAGTAGAGATGAGGTCTTGTTCTTGCTCAGGCTGGTTCTGAGCTCAAGCAATCCACCTGCCTTGGCCTCCCAGAGTGCTAGGATTACAGGCGTGAGCCACTGCACCTGGGCAGTCGTCGTCGTCTTGATACCTGGAAAAACAACTTCCTCTAACACAGAAAAGCTGAGCACTGTCTGCCACTTGGAGTGCATTCTGGATACAAAGGAGATCAGTCCTTTCACAAAAATAAACATATGTTACAGCTATGTTAGAAAAGCTTTAACTCTGATCATTATCGTGGAAACCATGAGGACTTACCCTATAAAGAGGATGGCACTTGTCACTGAAACATGGAGCCAAGCGGGCATAGATCTGTAGGCTGTAATAGTAAGCCGCCAGCTGGAGACACAACGCAGAGTGCGACTGCCTTTCAAAGCATTTGTTAGCATCTAACACCTAGACGGGAACACGATGGAATTAACTCAGTCGAAAGGAAATTAGCAAGATCACCATAAATCATTTCATTTCTAGGCATTTCTAAAGAATTGTGGTCTAAAGTTTCTATCATATCAACTCAAGCTCAAGCTCAATTTAATACTATCTATATTTAAATTCAGAAGGTACTACAAAGACAGATCTTATGCTGTAAAAGATGATTTTAACTTAAGCTAACATTATAGAACACTGACCAGAGCCCTTTCCGTACCTAAGGACCACCAGAAGGAAATGACATATAATAGACAATTTTACCAATGAAAATCTAGACATTTAGTTTATTCATTTTTAAGTTCTTCTTCATTGGTAAGGGTGAACATACCTGTGGTAAGGCAAGGAGGTAAGCCAGAGCCAACGTCATGTCATTCGGCAAAGCATCACTTGCTAGCTGCAAGAGAACTAAATGCAGAGGGGAAAAAAACGCATTATTTTGCTGAGGATGCGTATGACATTCCCACTTACTAAGTGCACATTTTTAGCCCTGTATGATTTCAACAGACAGTTTCAAAAGATTCTTTAAGACCTTTTATGAAAGTCTAAACACACATCACATGGAACTATGTTAAATAACATTTCCTTAACTTGGAAAGAGTATGCTGTTTGTTACTTATATTTGGTGAAATCCAGTTAGGGCAGCTGCAAAGTTAAATGCCAAAGACATTAGTGAGGATGGTTTCTGAAGCCTCAGTCTTTAAGTTTTAAAGATGCAGACCATGCTATAAAATTATGTGTAGTAATTATAGCTAATGTGGAAGGTGACTATATGAGTAAGATCACAGCAATAAAATAGCTTTGTGAGTGCAAAGGGAGGATTACCATGATTACAGGATGTTCCTTCTGAGAACATTCCTCTTCATCATACTCCACAAAAAGAAAATCAATTTCTTGATTGTGTAAATATTTTAAAATATCCCAACTATTAAAAATTTTTGTGAAAAAGAAATTTCTTTTCTTTTATAAAAGAAACAACCTTTAATTAAAGTAAAAGCTTTAGGGTGGCGCCTGTGGCTCAAAAGGGTAGGGCACTGGCCCCATACGCCGGAGGTGGCGGGTTCAAACCCAGCCCTGACCAAAAGAAAAAAAAATAAAATAAAACAAAGTAAAAGCTTTACTATGAGACTACATTGCCAGTAAGATCTGTGTTTATACAAAGTTTATTTTAATAAGGATGTATCCTATTCACTTAGGGTCAGAGTGACAAATACCAGGTAGTTATATGCAATCACAATGTAAATCTTTAATTTAAAAAAAAAACCCACATATTCTAAAGATCTGCGCTAATGAAGGAGAATGTTAAATGAATAACCCAAAGCTGCAGTCCCCAACTGTTGGACTCCAGACCAGTACCAGTCTGTGGTCTGTCAAGAACCAGGGCACACAGCAGGAGGTGAGAGGCAGGCAGGTGAGCAGAGCTTCATCTGCCCTTACGGCCACTCCCCATGGCTGGCATCACCACCTCAGCTCTGCCACCTGTCAATGGCCTCCAAAACCTTCTACCCCTCACTGCGGAGAAAGTGTGAAATGGTCTCTGGTGCCAAAAAGGCTGAAGACTGCTGATCCACAGGTTATATAGGATTTTGCTAATGCACCACATTTTGGGGGGAGATTTACCTTCCTCATTATGTCTTTCTTCGACTAATATTTAAGTCATTTGTATAATCTAGGTTGAGCTGATAGTCTGGTAGTGGAGCTGTGGGAGAGTGAAGAGCCACTTAAGTGGGTGAAGTGTCAGAGGCTGACCCAGAACTCAAAATTTCCTGTGGATGATTTCACAGAGGAAACGACTCCACTTCCCCCACTGCAACTGCAAGGGACGACCTCGTTTCCTGTGTGTCCTCCAAACATCATGAACCAAATAGACCATCAGTTAGTCTCTAGCCTCTCAAGGAACCAAACAGCTTTAGAGGTATTTTCTAATCAAAAGCTGTTCATGTCAAGGCCTGTTTCCAAATTAATTCCTTCATCACTCCAACATCAGTGAAGTTTTTCTGAACCAGACAGTGCCTCAAGGTAAGAGTCAGAGTCCTTGAACTTTAGGAATAAACAGAATAGGGTAAGAAAAAGTCTCTAAACAAATAATTTAAAAACACAATAGGCCCACATTAAAGTTTGTACAAATAATTATGAAAGTGAAACAAAAAGTGTATAATTGGTGAATATTACCCTAGAAGAGTATTAACAATGGAAAGATGAAGGAGTTAAGCTGTAAATTTTAGACACCAGAAAATAAACCAAGAGAAAGTATATAAGTTTAATCTGCTGAAAATTCTGGACTATTCAAAAAAGATGTAGAGCCTAGAAATCACATATTTTACAGACACACACGTACACAGCCAGGGCTGCCATTCTGACTTATGTCTGCTTCGTATTCTACCATTCGATATCTGCCCAAGGGCCCTTCAGGACCCCTGCTTTGAGGAAAAAAATTTCAGTTGTTTAACATATTAATATTTATTTCTCTTAATTTCCCTTCTCGTAATCTTTAATAAAGCAAACTTCAGTTTCAACTGTTGTTTATTCCATCTTCATTTTAATTTTCTTCACATATTTCCTTTCTTTACCTACAAAAAGAGGCCAATTTTCAAACAAGAATACCTGAACCCACTCATCAAAATTAGCACCGTCTCCCTCAAAAGAGCCGCTTAGGAGGTCTTATTTCAGAAGGATGGCTGTTTCTCTAGCTACTGGAGGACCTTCCCTCTTGGTGCTGTGATGGGAATCAATCTCACGTCCACTTGGAAGATTAAGTCCCATTACTGATTCTCTTCTAATAACAACTTCTCTCAAGTAACAACTAGTAACTTTTTATGACGTCAGTTCAATCTTCTGCTTCATTTAATGTGCATCTGCCTATATCCAAATAGCGAAGCATCCTTAGGGAAGAGGATAAGTCACCACTGAAGATATTCTGAAGAATTTACTACAGGCCTGCAGAGAATCTCAAAGCAAAAACCACCAAACAAAACAGCAATGATGACATGACTGGAATGAAGGCCTAGTCTCTAGGAGATACCTTTGAAGGAGAGGATCTTCCTCTGGATTCATAAATTCCAGTAGGTTTATTTTTAAAGCAGTTACATCAGAGATAGAACTCACAAAACACGCACTAAAGTTTTGAAACATACAGAATGGAATATGAAACTTACAGTAGGCAAAAAAGAGTATATCATTTTCATGAGCTCAAAGTAATGACAAAAATCGTCCTCACAGGGTCATCTAAAGGGTTGTCATTATTTTTACTAAGAGTGAAAATCATTGCCCTACAATACAAATGTTTAATCCAAGTGAATAATATCTACATAGACTTTACTTCATAGGTAAAACTACGGTGGATTTTACCCTTTGACATACCGTGGGCCTTGCTAATCCTGAAAAGACTGCCCCACCCAGGTCCAGCTAATTCCTAGAGAGAGCAAACAACTTGCCTGTGAGCATAATTTTGACATGCAAACCAACCAAAACACAGCCCACACTTTGAACCACCTCTTCTACACTCCAAGAGGCAATAAATATCCTCTGTCCTAGTCACCCCACAGCCAGGTAGGACCCAATGAGAGAACCCAAATTATCTCTACTATCCAATCTTAAACTTCCCTAGGTCTCCCAACCCTCCTTTGCCCATTCCTTCCCATGACAAGCCAGGACTTCTGCCTGTGCCTTTCCTGGCTCCTTCTGCCCCTGGACCACTGGGTGCTTCCCGTCTGTGGTGTGTTCTGCCGTCTTGCTAGAGATCTGTAAGTATAAACTTCTTCCTACATTTCCATGTTTCTGAGTCCTACCAATACCTGAACAGAAAAAACAAAATCCCCAGTGTATTTTAGAACAACTAAAACAAAATCTATAAATATAAAATGATTTTTTCTGGCCCACAACACTGGGCAGAATGACACAGCAGGAAGCAAAACCATCTTCAGAAGCAAAAAGTCCCAGGATCAAACCCACTGATCTATTATACAACTATGAGTTTCAGAATCAGAAGGTTTGGGAATTTAGAAGGTTATGCCACCACATATTACGTGATACCTTCAGGATGGTCTGGGAACACCAAATAATCAAACATTTAAATACTCATGCTAAGTGAGATAAGCAAAGACTAAGTAGCCTCATGTCATTTAGTTCAGGTTTTGATGCCAAACAAGTTATAAAAAAATCTTCATGATTTTCAAAGCATTCTGGATTTGAGGTCTGAGCATGATCTGCCTCAGATGTAAGTAGGATTAATGAGGTGAAGTAACAGAGTGCATGGCATCTCTCTAGCAAACAAAGTAGCTTCTCTTCCTCCCTCGGTAAAATACAGGCTCCAGGAAACAATGATTTTCTTCAGCTATGACATGTTTTGATTTCCCCCTAAAAATGATTGAAAATAGGTTTTTCCATTAATAACTACCACAGTAGTAACAGAGACAATCATTTCCATTTTATATGAATCATAATTATTAACAAATTAACAACTGCATTTAAGCGTGAAGACAAATTTCACTAAGAAGCACCAGCAGACAGTCACACCTGATTACTGGAAACACATCTGCTACCATATTCTTGTTGGTTTGCTGCTTCTCACTGAGCACTCGACAATCATTTGGATTAGCTACTCCTCACAATCTCTCCACAAAGAAGTTAGTTAGCTGTTTTCCTCAATTTACAAAATAGAATGTAGAATCACAAAAAGTCCTTCTTTTCTATATGCCCTGTGCAACACACAAACAGATCACCTGAGTCCTGGGAAAATATATTTTTTCCCTTGGCAACTCCCCATTCAGACAGACTCAACAGTCCTGTTTCTTCTCATTGTTGAGCTTCATCATTGTTGTGTTCTACCCCCCTGCACTCACACCTTGACACCACCTTTCTTCCAGTTCCTCCAACCCTGGCCCCCAACTCACACTGCCTTCCAAACCCAGTTGTCGTCTACTTGGATTTCACTGTGGCCACTAGCCAGTGCTAGAAAGTTTCTCCTCTGCTTTATGGGACACTGAATCGTCACATCTGTTCCCTCCTCCTCTGTCTGTGTCACCGGATCCTCTTCTTCTTCCTTGACTGCGCAATGTGGGCATTTGGTTAAGTTACTTCGTCATTATCTCTTAATCCCACATTACATTTCCCCCCCGAAGAACTCAGTTACATTCTTAATTTCAACCAGCACTTTAGTCTGCTTTCTCAGTATTTATCTCCAGGGTAGATCCATCTCACAAGACTTATATTACCAACAATGCTTTGGACATTGCCACTCAAATATTACCCCAAATTAATCATCCTTTATCCAGTATTTCCTGTATTTCTGAATAATACACTATCCTGATGAGCTAAACTTCAAATTCTGGAGTCATCTTGGACCTCAGCCTCTCCTCTGCTGCCAACATTCAGGTCATCATCAAATCATGTTGAATCATTTCCAAAGA